CGGCGCGGCGCGGTGCGGCCCCCTCTCTGGCTGCCTGCCTGCCTGCCTGCCTGCCTGCCTGCCTGCCTGCCTGGCTCACCCCGCCTGGCTGCCTGCTCGCCTCTCTCTCTCTCTCACGCTCCCTCGCTCGAACCCACCCACCTCACTTCCTTCGGCTCGGCCTCCGCTCCACTTTCGTTTCCCTTCCTCGACCATCACCACCACCACCGTCACCGCCGGCTGCCTCTACTTTCGTCTACCCTCTTCTCGCTCCATCTCGACAGCTCGCAGCCGTCAACCCCTTCGAGCCCATCCAGCTCGCACATCGCGTCAACAGCACGGCAACACCTGACACGCTCCAACCGAGACATCCGTCCTAGACCAACACACGGGCCTCTCCTCCATCGCCTGAGCACGCCGGACCGCGACAACAGCACAACCCACACCGGAAGCACCACCATGGCAGGCCAAAGAGGAGGCGGAAGGGGCGGCTTCGACATCGGGTGAGTGCCCGGACCTTGCCGGCAACGTCCGCTTCCAGGGCATCACGGCATGCTCAGCGCGAGGGCGGACCAAGTGCGGATCCCCCTCGCGATGCGTGCGCCGCAGAGGCGTTGCGGGCCTTGCTGGTGTGATCAGTCGCGCTGTGTCCCCCCGTCTTCGCGCCGTCGCGATTCACACTCGTTAGCACAAGTCCTGACATCTTCTTCACCATCTGGCCCGACTCGCTCCCTGGACATCCACGCAGGCTCCTCTTCGCACACAAGATCCTGCTGGCGACATTCGCGCTGGCATTCGTGGGATGGTTTGTCGCCTTCATCGGACAGATCGTCGCCGAGGCCAGCAATGACCGCCAGGGGACGCTGTGGTTCGGCATCTTCCTCGAGTTTTTCCTCATCGCCGGCATGACGGCCTGCGTCATCACCGACAGCCTCGCCCTGGCCCGGCTGCAGCTCGTCGCCTTTGACGCCGTCGCCCTCGTCTTTGCCGTCTCGGGCATCGACCGCGGCATCTACGCCAATACCAGCAGCCTCCAGGCCGTCGCCGCCGGCTACTTCCTCATGACGATCGCCAACCTCGTCTGGCTGCTCTACCTCACCAGCGAGGACGACTCTCCCCTGTTTGCCCTGCTCAACTCGACCAACCAGGGCCTCAGCAGCCCCGGCAGCCGCAACAGCGGGCGGTACGGCGGCGCCGGTCCCGGCATGCGCAGTGGCGGAGGCGGGGGCGGTTACGGCGGCGGCATGGGCAACGGCTCGGCCTACTCGGGCGGCTTCCAGGCAGGCGCTGCGTCGGGCGGCTACCAGCCCGCGTTCGGCCACAGCCCCTCGGCCGCCGACGTCACGACGGCCAACGGCACCGGCCTGGGCGCGTCCAAGCTGGCGCAGAGCCCCAGCATGCGAAGCCGACAGGGAGGCGAGACGGTGCTGGGCAGCCAGGTCGGCATGGGCGGAGGCACGGGGACGGCGGCGGCAGGCGGCGGACCCGCTTCCGACCTCGGCGGCGCGCCCTCGACGACGTCGCACAGCAACGTTGCGCCCGGCTCGCCCTCGGTCGCGCGGAATCAGGGCGAGGGCGGGCAGCCCGACTACGGCTACAAGGCGAGGGCGCTGTACGCCTACCAGGCCAACGCCGACGACCCGACCGAGATCTCGTTTTCCAAGGGCGAGGTGCTCGACATTGTCGACAACTCGGGCAAGTGGTGGCAGGCCAAGAAGGCCAGCGGCGAGACGGGCATCGTGCCGAGCAACTACATGCAGCTGCTCTGAGGCGGCGCCCTAAGCCGAATCGACGAGCGATCGGGATTGACCCCGGGCCTTTGGAAGCGGTGCAGGTCCGTCGATCATCCTCCGGGCACCGCGTCATCGTCATCGTTTTCGTCGCCGACAAGCAGGAACAAGCAAGCAGACTAGCAACGAGGATCGAAACCCGTGGCCGACTGAAGCGGTGCGCGCCGCACGCAAACGAGGAGAAGCGCGAAGATATACCATCCATCCCATCTTGTACACATAAACCCTCCCAGCCCCTTTGCGACCCCTTCCCCCTGCTGCCCCGTCTAGCCTTCTTTCCCCCCTTCTTCCTGGCCACGCCTAGCCCAAACTCTCGTGTCTTGCCCGGACGCTGCCAAGCGCATCGACGCACGCCATACCCACACTCCTTTTCCTTTTCCCCGCGCTCCCCAACTGGCGCCTTTGACGCAAGCCGGAGCGGGGGCATCGCACTTGCACATCGATCGGACGATGACTTAGGCGGACGCACACAGCCGCGTTCCCATCCTTCCTAGCCGCCTTTCTCCCCCTCTCCCTCTCCCCGTCCTGCGTCCTGCGCCCTCTTCTCGGCTTCTGCTGCGATGCTCTTCCGACCTCTCCGGCCGCCCCACGAGGCGAGGAGAGTTTGGTCTACCACGCTCCTTTTTCTGCGAACTGCGCGGCCCTCTTCCCCTGTTGCGAAATGTATCGATGTATTGAACCGCCTTCGAAGCCCGGCAGCGACGAGACTTTGCCCGCCTCTTGCGCACGCACGCAGGCACGCAGGCACGCAGGCGCGAGGCTCGGCTGGCTGACTGGCACACGCAAAGGCAGACGCGGACGGGGCGAGGGAGGAAGAAAATGGGATGAATTGTCAGGGGATGGAAAGGGGGCGGAGGGGTGGGGAGGGCTGGGTTGGGGGAAATTGGATAAAGAAGGACCGGAATGGCTCGAGGACGGAGGCCGAATCTATCGGCCTCTACCCCACCCGCCTCTACCTCTTGACCGTATGCCTAGAGGCGGAAGAAGGATGGGGGTTGATCGGGATGGTGTCTAGGTGGGGTGGGAAGGAGAGGGGAGGGAGGGAGGAGTGATCGTCTAGATTCTGATGTTTTCTGAAAGGGGGTTTGGTTGGTAGCGACGGTGACGGTGTAGGCGCGGCCGGTCGGAGGGCACCGGCTGCGCGGGTTAGGCTGAACGCGTCGGACCGGCCGATCGATTGAGAAGGGAGACAAGGAGGCGGGGGAAGGCGGTGGGTGGCGACGCTACGTCAAGGCCATGAGGTCAAGGTCGACGTCGACGTCGAAGCGCGCCGTCGGCGGTCAGGAGCGACGGCCAACAGGATCAGGATCAGCGAGATTGACGGCCGCTTAGTTGCCGGCGTCGATCTTGGCCTTCTGGTCCTGGCTGTTGCTCTGCCACTGCTCGACGTGGCTGTCCTTCCACGACGACGAGTGGCCCTCCTTCCACCTGTAGCCGGAGCCGTTGGGCGTCTTGTACTGCTGCTGGTCCTTGTAGTTGTCGCTCTGGTCGTCGTGGGTGTTCTTGGCGTAGTACTGCGAGTCGGAGTGGTGCTTGCCGGCCGAGCCGTGGATGCCGTCCGGGCTGGCCTCGCCGCCGATGTAGGAGCTGTCGTGCGACTTGGCGTCGTAGGCCGTCGACTCGCTGTGGTGCTTGCTGTGGTCGGCCGAGCCCTTGTCCGACTGCTGGTAGCCGATGACCTGGCCCTGGTCGTTGTACACGGCGACGCCCTGGCCGTTGTTCCAGCTCTTGGACGAGTGCTGGCCGTCGGACTCGCTGTCGCGGTAGTGGGTCTTGGAGCTGCGGTCGCCCTGCAGCTTGCCACCGGCGTAGAGGCCGCCGGGGCCGACCTCGATGCCGCCCTGGCCGCTGTTCTTGCTGTCCTGCTGCGTGTAGCCGTCGGTGTGGTGCTTGTAGTAGTCGCTGCCACCCTGCTGGTTCTGGCCGTAGCGGTAGGCGGCGCCGCCGTTGCCGTAGCCGTCGTTGCCGGCCCAGGCCTGGCCCGACTTGCTGCCGGAGCCGTACGAGTGGCTGACGTCGACGTCCTTGTTGAACGACGACTTGCTGCCCTGCTGGTTGTTGAAGTAGCCGCCGGTGCCGGCGCCGCCGCCGGGGGTGGCCCACTTGTGGTTGTCGCCCTCGCTGTTCGAGTAGCTCGAAGAGGACGACGTGGCGCTGACGTGCCTGTTGCCCTTGTTCTTCTCGTAGCTCTGCGTCTGGCCGGCCGAGTAGCCGTTGCCGTTGCCGTTGTAGTAGCTGCCGCCGCTGAACTGCTCGCCCTTGGAGTTGACGTCGGTCGAGTATGAGAAGCTCTGCGAGTTGAAGGCCGAGTTCTTGAACCACGAGTCCCAGTTCTCAATCGAGAACTGGCCCTTGCCCGTGCACGTCTTGCCCTCCTGCTTGTGGTGGCCCGACGACGTGACGCGCAGGCCGTGCTGGTGCGAGACCGACTTGCACTTGCCGTTGGACGTCTTGTAGGTGACGACCTTGTGGCCGCCCTTCTTGGTGTGCAGCGTGCACTTGCCGTCGTCGAGCTGGTAGTAGCCGCCCTTGTTGGTGGCGTTGCCGCCCTTGATCTCGAGCTCGTCGGGGAGCTGGAAGCAGCAGGCGCCGGTGTTGCAGTCCTTGGTGGTGGCCGCGACGGAGCCGACGGCGATGGCGGTGGCGACGAGAGCGATCGAGAGCTTCATGATGATGTTACTGGTCTTGTTGGTGGTTTTTGGAAGTTGGTGGCGTCTGGGGTTCGTCGAGGTCTCGGAGACGATTAGAGAGAGAGTATAGGGGGCGAAGATGGGATGGATTGTTCTTGGGTAAGGCGTAGAAACGCGTACTGTTCGTGGAACGGGGCTGGAGAAGAGAGACTGGGGATTAGGTGAGTAAGAGAGGTTGAGTGATGAGGAAAGAAGGGATGAGGGCGATGAGGGGACGGGCTTATATGGCTTTCCTCGGCCCCCCATCCGTCGCCGAAGCGGTCGATAGGTTCGAGGCTCGTCGAGAGTCGACCGCTTCGACCGACGCTGGACGTGGGACGCCAGATCCGGAGCCAGAGACACAGCCACGGCTACAGCCACAGGGCCCACCGGCCGTTGCGCCCAGCCCTGCCGGCTCTGGGGGGCCAACGAAGTGGGGGCGCGCCTCGGACGTCCCTCTCGAAGGCGCTGTCAGGGTGCTTCCAGACGGTCTGGGCTAGCCTACAGTAGCGCTGCGCCGCTGCCGCGATACCGGCCAACGCCGTCGTCGGGACCCTCTGTGATGCGGTGGCCCTGGACCAGTACGGCAACGCCTGCAGTCGTTGTACGTCGCCGGGCTTATGCCACCTGCAGTTTCGGCTGTCAATAGCGTCTCGTTCTTCGTCCTTGGATCTCCAAGGGCGCTCGATGGGACTTTCGAGGCGCTGCTGACGCCGCCGCCGCCGTCACCGCCGTCGCCGCCGTCGCCGTCGCCATCAACCTTTGTACGCCCGTAGAGGGGACGAGAGGCTGACGAGTCCGGCGCGCCATCCGTCCGAATCAAGAATCAAGAGCGAGGCAAAGAGGTGGGGCCTTCTGTCGGACATCTGCCGACGACTCCGTTGCGGTGGCCGGGTGTCGAGATGAACTGCGCTTCGCCTGGCTAGCCGGTGGGTCACCTGCCGGCCATGGTCGCTGCAGGTGCGCCGGGAACGCATCCGGCTTCCATGTGGCCTGCTTGCAGATTGTTTGACTCCGAAGAAGCCAAGGTTCGTACGTACGTACCTGCGGAACATGCGGTACGAGGCATCGAGCAACCCGACCGTATGTCTGCCAAGAGCAGCGCGCAGGGGCCCGAGAGAGGGGGGGCGAGCGGTTCGTTGCTCATACCCACTACTGCTCTTGAGCCGATCCTGACCAAGTGAGTGCGCCGACAGAGGCCCGGGCTGGAAGCTACGGCAGGTATGGACGCAGGCACGATAAGCCTGTAAGGACAGCGATCGGCCGCCCTCGGACCCCACTCGGACAAAGGACAAAGCGCGTCGCCGAGCGAGAGTGAAAGAGGCTTTTTTTTTGTCTTCGGGCTCGGATCGATTGCCGGGGGTGGGGTCTGCGCAGGGAGCGTGTGCCTGCATTGCCAGCGGATACGTGAGTGAGATTGAGGCCGGGTGGGGCAGAGTGGGTTGGCTGCCAGCAAGCACAGCGAAGAGGCCGCCTGCCAAGCCCAGCCAGCAAGCGCATGCCACGCGGGCGAGACGTCGAGAGGTCGTCAAGCGTCGTCCGTCGTTGGTCGCTGCCTCGCTACGGACGCGCCCAGCATGCCCATCTCCTCCTCCCTGATCCATGAGGCTGCGCAGTTCAGAGCTTTTATTCGTTACGCCACCTCCACTCACCTGATGATCGTCAGATCGACGACGGCAATCGTTCGCTCAACCCACCCCTTCTCGAGGCAGGTGGGTCTGATTTCGTCGACCCCCACAGCGACCCACTCCGTCTGCACGGCGAGCGCAGAAAAGGGGACCTTGAAACGCCCCAGAACGCCGAGGCAAGGGGCAGGAGGTCGACCGCCCCTCGCTCTGTCTCGTCGGGCCCAACGATACCCCTTTCGGTCTGTGGATATCGACGAGGTGGGAGTCGTTGATCGAACTGCTCAACCGTGGCCATTCATCGGACCCCAACAGACTGAAAGAACATTTCTTCCTTCGCGACGATACGAGGACCTGACAACGCTTTGCCCGTCATTGTGGAAGGGTGGCGCGGCGGACGGGGGAACGGTAGTCGTCTCGATCGGATCTGACACGACCGTTGACGCAGACCAGAGCGGTCAACCCAGCAACGGCCGAGCCACCAACGTGGCAGACGTGGCAGCTCAGCCCTCCTCTCCTTGATGACCAAGGACAAGTCGAGGCACGTACCTGCGTGGCCCGGGACCTGCGCGGTAGCGCGCGCCCACGGACGGATCAGGGCTTGCAAACGCCACCCGAAGTGGATGCGGCACGTTTTGTCGATCTCAACGGCGGAGCCCACCACCGCGTATCCCTACATACATACATCGTCGTGTGTACGCACGACAGGGCAGGGGATGCTACAGAGTACGTGTACGTCGGGCTCGACCGCCGTGGAGAGCGCCAGCGAGCTAGTCGAGGAGGATCTCGGCCGCATTGGCCCGCTTCTTTTTCTTCTTGGCCGCACTTGTCGGCGGTGTGCCCGCTTGCCCCTGCGCCAGCGTCGTCGTCGATGAGCTCGACGCAGACTTGACCAGCTTGGCTAGCGGTTCCGTCCCTCCCTCGGCTTCGTCGTCCTGCATGGCTTCTCCTGCTGCTGTAGCAGCAGCAGCAGCAGCCGCTTGACCGGCGGCGCCCGCATCTTCGATCGCAGCGCTCGGACTCGTCGTACCAGAGGTGACCGCCTTCGACTTGGCCTTCTTCCTTGTCGTCGTCGCCGCGCCGGCGTCGCCTGCAGACTTGAAACTCTTCGGCTTCCTGGCACGCTCGGGCATCTCCTCCCTCTCGAGCACAGGCGGAGCGGCCGCCGCCTTGCCGCCCCCAGACGGGCTGCCGAGGTTGAGCCCGCTGAGGTCGAGCTGGATGACGGGGATGCTGTCGATGTCGTCGGCGGCTGCCTCGCGACCGTCCTCAGCCGCGCCGTCGTGGCCCTTGGCTGCCTTCTTCTTGGCCTTGTTCGCCTTGGATCCGATGTAGAAGGGATCGTCGCGCATCCGCTCCTCGCGCAGCTGCCTCCGTCGCTCCTTTTCCTCTGCCGTGCCCTGTTTCGCCGTCGCTGTTGCAGCCGAGGTGGACGCCACCTTCTTCTTGCTCCCCGCGCCCGCAGCCGTTCCTCGTCCTGACCGCCCCTCGGGCTGGTAAAAGTCGAATCGCAGCCACGACTCGTGGCCCTCGTCGTAGCCGCCATCGCCGAAGGCAAAGCCACCACCGCTCGTCTTTGCCAGGCTGCTCAGCCAGTCTTGCGGCACGATCCAGGACTCGAGCTCCAGGCCTTCGGGCACCGAGACCTTGGCTTGCGCCTTTTCGGCCACAGGCCCGAGGGTATGGTTGAAGAAGAGCGGGCTGAGCAGGTTGAGCGACTTTGGCCCAGAAGGGCCCGACGATGGCGCCGAAGGCGAGGCCGAACGGGAAGAGACGAGCGAGCCTGGCGGCCCCGTGGAGCCAGCCGCCGCCGACGTTGTCGTCGTCGATGCCGACGCCCCCCGCGATGCGCCCTTGTAGCCCTCGAGGTCCCTCTCGAGCAGCCGGAAGAGTTGCCGGAACTCGGTCGTACGCTCCTGCACCTCGGCGTCGTCGGTCGCCGTGTGGACCGCGTCAAGCGCCGCGATGACCTGCTTGGCGAGGTGTTTGACGTCGTCGAGCTGGTCGTCGGACCAGCTCTCGCTCAACGACGCCGTCCAGTGCGCAAACAGCTTCACGGCGTTGTGCACGCACGCCGCGGCCGTGGCGGCGTCGGCGGCCTGGTAGATGGACGGCTGCAGCAGCAGCGGGATCGCGGCTGCCGCCGAGGGCACCTCCTCGCAGTACTCGCCGCACACCCAGGCGGCGGCGTGGAGCACCCTGCGCATGTCTTTGCCCTCGTCAAACGACGTCGAGCTGGCGAGGCTGGGGCCGACGAGCCTCGGATCCCTGAGCAGGTCGACCATGGTCCTCGCCGCGTACGGCCGGACGGCTCTGACGCGGGTGGTGATGTCGATGATCTGGTCCCGGATCCTGCCGCCGATGCCCTCGTCCTCGGGCACGTTGGCGATGAGGGCGAGCCTGACGAGGACGTCGAGGTACCACTGGAAGTCGTGGACGTTGGCGTAGGTGTCGGCGCTGCCGAGGGCGAGGATGCGCCGCACGATCTCGAGGCGGTACGAGGGCGAGAGGGTCGGGTTGTTGTTGAGCGCGGCGGCCGCCACGGCCGAGTTGCTGGGGTCTGCGGCCTCGAGGCCGCCACTCGCGCCGCCCATGCCGCTGAGCGACGCCTTCAGCGCGGCCGCAGCTGCGCTCGCCTTCCTTGCGCTCGTCGTCGACGCCGACGACGACGGGTGGGCCAAGTCGGCGGCGGCGCTTGCCGGCGGCTCGAGGTGCGACAGGAGCTGGGAGACGATGGGCTGGAGGTTGGCTGCGCTGGCCATGCCTCCGACGAGCTCGAGGGCGCGCAGCCGGATGCTGAGGTCCGGGTCCTCGATCGACTGGAAGATGATCTCCTGGTGCTCGGCGACGAGGTGCGGGTGGGTGGGGAGGATCTTGACGAGGGCGAGGAGGGAGATGTACTTGAGGTTCTGGTCTGCGTCCTCGAGGAAGCGTGCGAGCTTGTCGACGCAGGTGACGGCGAGGTCGTCGCCGCCGTCGCCGAGCAGGATGCCGCCGATGATGACGGTGTGGATGCACTCGTAGAGCAGGCTCATTGCGGGCGTGTTTGAGATGATGGTGGTGATGGGGGGCACGAGCTTGCGGATGAGGCGGGGCTCGAGCGGGGTGAGGGAGCCAAAGAGCTTGATGACCTTGATGAGCATCCAGTTGTTGGTCGAGGTGGTGAGGAGGTGGAAGAGCTGGGGTGCGAGCGGGAGAAAGGGGCGCGGGTCGCGGCGAGCGAGCTCGCAGACGATGTTGACGGCGGCCGAGACGACGCCGAGGTCTGGGTCGTCTAGCTTTTCGCGGAGGCGGTCCCAGGCGTGGTCGAGCATCTCTGGGCACTTTATGATCATCGAGTAGAGGACGAGGAGCGCCTTTTTGCGGATCATGGGCTTGGTGTGGGTGAGGAGGGCGATGGTGTCCGGGCCGAGGTGGCGCGAGAGGTCGGGGGTGACGATGTGCGAGAGGCCGTTGAGGGCGACGGCGACGTCGAGGGGCGAGGTGGAGTGGAGGTCCTTTTTGACGAGGTTGGTGGCGAGGATGAGGACGTCGGTGTCCTGGGAGAAGCACTGTGCGGCTGCGAGGTAGCCGATGTGCTTGAGGTGGTAGCGCGGGGAGGCCATGACCTCGAGCATGTGGAAGGAGGCGTCGGCAAAGGGGTAGCCGAGCATCTGGAGGTAGGTGAGCTTGAGGACGGCCTCTGCCTTGACGTCCATGTCGCCGCTGCGGACCTCGTGGCGGATCTCGTCCATGACCTGTGCGACGTACTTGGCCTCATCCTTGCCGCGGTGGGAGCGGAGCCCTTTGATGAGGGCCGAGAGGGAGCGCTCGAACATCTCGCCGGACGACGAGGGGGGCGGAGGGTGCTGATGTTGGCAGCCGGTGGTGGTGGTGGTGGTGGTGACGAGGGCGAAGCAGAGATGATCGCATCCGAAAGAAGGGTGCCACGCGGAAATGTGGAGCGCGGCGAGTGTTGCTCTCGCTTGGCGGGCGGCCCCTTTGCCGCCTCTTCTGTCCTTGGCTTGCGTGCTGGCTGCCTCGCCCCCAAGAAGGGCAAATTTGGCCCGCGTCCACCTCACACCACACCATACCAACGACTGAGCACAGACGCCTCGACACGGGCTAAGGGGGAGTAAACGGTCGGCTGGCTTGCGCAGGCAGGCGGGCATGCTGCTACGGCTACAGGTCACGGGCCAGGATGCGGGTCGCACAGAGATAATGGTACAAGGCTAGGCCCGTCGCAGCGCCCGCCTAGACCGACATGATGTCGTCGTCGTCGTCGTCGCGGTCATAGTCGATGGGCTCGTCGAGCATCTCGCCGCGCGCCTGGGCCGTCATGAGCTCCCGCCGCACCTCGGGCGTGATGCCGTCGTGCTTCTGCACCCGGATCAGGTCCAGCAGCGCCCCCTTCTGGTCCGGCGTCAGGTCCTGCTTGTACCGCTGCGAAAACACCAACAGGCTCTGGTGCCACAGCACCGGCATCCGCCGCTCGCCCGTCTCGCGGTTCGTCTCGACCCCCTCCTTGGGGTCGGCGAACCGCAGGTAGTGGAAGACGAGCGAGTCAATCACCTTGTACGGCAGCGCGTACTTCTTGTCCAGCAGCACCCGGATAAAGAGCGACGTCGGGCCCGTGTACTCCATCTCGGCCAACCGCAGCAGCGCCGCAGCAGAGTGCAGCACCGGGATCGACACCTTGGCCAGCACCGACGACACAATGGCGCCCTCCTTGAGCGTCAGCGTGCCCGACTCGCACAGCGGGAACAGGAACCCCTTGAAGAACGCCGCCGGCTTGTAGACGGCCTTCTTCATGGCCTCGTACGTCTGGTACGACACCTTGCCCTCGTCCTGGATCTCGTCGCGCACCTTGTCGAGCAGCACCAGCTCCAGGAACTTTTCCGCCTGCGCAGGCTTCATCGAAGAAATGAACGTCCGCACCGCTGCCAGCGTCGCGTGCGCCGTCCACGACGCCGGGTCGGTGATATAGAGGATCGACTCCCACGCCGGCAGCGAAGGGATAATCTTGAACGCCTTGGGCAGCGGGCCCGACTTGTACCGCGACAGCAGCTGCCCGACCCTGCAGCGAGCAGCGAGCAGCGAGCAGCGAGGGGGGAGAGTGCAGGGTGAAGAGGGCCGATGAGTGACGGGTCCGCATTAGAGGGGCAAGTCGCCCAACCACGCCCGAAAACGGTGCGACCGGCACTCACTTCGTGTAGACCTCGACCACCTTGGGGTTGATGCCAGGCGGCATCGGGTATCCGTCGGCCCTCCTCGCCTCGGCCGCCTCGGCAGCGTCAATTTTGGCCATGATGAGGTCGGCCAGCGTCCGGTTGCCTCTCCGCTGCTCGTCGGCGCCGCCCATGTTGTGGTCCTCGGCGCCGTCGTTGCCGTCGTCGTCGGCGCCGCCGTCGTGCTCCTCGTGCTGCTTCTGGAACCGGTCGAGCAGCGCTCGATCTGACGGGTCGATCTCTAGGTTGGCGTCGTACGAGCTCCAGCCGTTCTCGCCGAGCTGCGCCTCGTCGTCATCGAGGTCGCCCTCGGCCTCGTCGGCGTCCATGCCCTCGTTGTCGTCGTCCGAGTCGTCGGGCATCTCGCCGTTGCCGTCTCGGATGGCATCCCTGGAGCCCGACGCCCGTCCAGCTGCTCGCGTCGACCCTGCTGCGGCTTCGTCGCCGTCGCCGTCGCCGTCGCCGATCTCTTCGGCCCGCTGCATTTCGAGCTCCTCTGCCTCGAGCTCCTCCTGCTGCTCGCGCGCCAGCCTGAGGATGTTGCGCGAGAGCTTGGGATCGATGAAGCGCTTCTCCTTTGCGCCTCCACCTGCCTTGCCGCCCGTCACCATGCCCTTGGGCGCAGAGTAGATGTCGATGTTGACGGTGGCATCGTCGGCGCCGTCGCCGTCATTCGCGCCGCGCTTGGCCGACTTGTTCTTGGCGCGGCGTCCGGGCGCGCTGACGGTGCCGAAGCGAGAGGTGAGCTCGTCCTCCTTGAGCTCCTGGTGGAGCGGGTTGTGGCGGGGCGAGGCGCCGCCGCGGCCCTTTTTGGCCGAGGTCGAAGGTGCCCGTGGCATGGGTGCCGACTTTCAAGAGGAGCGAGGCTGAGCTGCTGCTGTTGTGTGGGCGAGGGATCTCTCCGCCAAGGTTTCCGTCGGCGGTCGTCGCTTTGGTTCGTCGGAAGATGTAGGGCGGGCGGTGATCCGGTCGAGTGATGGAGTCAGGTGAGGTGAGGAGAGGAGGTGAGCAGGTTGGAGAGCGTGCAAGCAAGGCCGGCGCAGGCAGGACCTCCAAAGCCCCACCGCCCGCCCGCCTGCAAGAAAAACCCAACCCTGCCTTCTCAAAAATTTGGAGAGGCGGGGCAGGTTCGCTCTCGGCCAGGGCCTGTTCTCGGAACTCGGGCCAAGATGCACGCCTCCAGCTGGCCACTGGGTCGGGGGCGCCGGCTGGCCTGCGGTTCCGAGCCGTGACCCTTTGCCTGCTCGGCGCTCGTCCGTCTCTCGCTGGGGCCGACCCATGCAAAGGGGCAACACCGTCTGGTCGGCAAGCCCACGATGGTGCAGAAGCGGGTCCGGGCGGCTCGGGACGACCAGCGAGTCGACTCGCTCCAGGCCAAAAGGGCTCGGTGGTGGGCCAGCCATGCCGCGCCCAAAGTCAGGGGGAGAGGCCCGCTCGGCCAGCCAGGTCAGGCAGCGAGCCACGCTGTACCGAAGCATGATGGCAGGCAGGCCGACGAGCCTGCAGCGCTCGACTCGACTCGACGCTCGCTCTCACTTCCGCTACGGCGGAAGCTGCTGGTGGCCATGGCGGGCTTGGCATGCGCATCGCCAGCGTGGTCGAGGCCAGGCCTGGCCTAGCCTGCGCTGCTGAATCGTAATAGGAGACCGCAGGCTCGACCGCATGTGCCGCTGCTTGGCGCGCTCCACCAACGGCCCATCGCATGTACGCTACCGGCGACTACACGAGGTGGTGTTGTTGCATGCTTCTCTGCTGGGCGCTGCCGCTGGTGGTCAGCATCGTGCGCGAGGTCAACGGGCATGCCTGCCTGGGAACGCGGTCAGGACTCCTAGCCAAGCCAAGCCGGCACGGTGGCCCCGCACGAGCAAAGAGTCGAATGTGCACCATGCGGCGGACCGGATCGGGTCGGGCGCTTGCGGATATCAATCGGAACTAGGCAGTGATCAGCGGGGTTTGGCGCGAGCGAGCGAGCGAACGGCGACGGCGACGGCGACGACCTGGGGCGAGAGAAGGCTAGGGTTTCTGGCGCTGAGCCCGCAAAATGGGACCGCGGCACAGAGGGCCAGGCAGGCCCAGCCTGCTGGCATCGCCAGGCGGAGCTGGCTGGCTGGCGTTCAAACGTCGATTCTCGAGACATAGGCCAGGCCATGGCCACCGGCAAGCTAAGCGCCAGCGGGATCAGAGACACCGACCTGAGAGACAAATAAACGTAACAGCTCTCGCTCGAGCAGCTCTGGAGCTCGCTCGCTCGCGTCGCACCTCGTGCCTCGACATCGTCGCTCGCCTTTTGGTGGCCCGCTTCCGGTCGCTTGCGCCTGCCTGCTGGTGATTTTGTCCCACCTCGCTCGGCCACCCGGTCGCACGCACGCCCTGTCGCCTGAAGCCCGGTGGCGGGTCAATGGCAGGAGGGACGCAGGGCAGGCGGGCGGGACGAGGCAGGACCGGGGAGCGACAAAGAGCGCCAGGCAGGCAGGCCAGGGCGACCCTCGAGCGAACGAGCGGGCAGGCGCGGGTGGCTGGCTGGCTGGCTGGTGGGAAGCGACGGCCAGCCTGCCTGCCATCCACGCCTGCCGCGAGAGGAGATCCAGCGGTCAACAGGCAGAAGACGGGCGGGAGGGCGGCGGGCGGGGGCGGGAAGAGCCTGCGGTCCGGCGGGCCAGTTTCGAGCAGGTCAGGGTCGTGGGAAGAGGGAGCCTGGCTGGCTGGCTGGCCGGCTGGCTGGCAGGCTGGCTCGGCTCACATGGCCTCGGCCTCGAGCGGCAGGGGCCCGCGAGCGGCGGCCAGCATCGATCCTCCTGCCTGCCCGCCTCTCTCTGGGCCCCGCTGTCGGCGTGGGTGGAAATTCGAGCTGGATTTTTTTGCGTTTTCTTTTTTCGGGCGGGGTAGAGTAGCGCTGGGCAGGGGCTGCCCGCGTGCCTGCCTGACCCTGACCCTGCCTGGCCCTGGCCCCCTGGCTGTCTGCCCTGTCTGGCTGGCTGGCCGGTGGCTCGCCGCTGCTGGTGTTGCTGGTGTTTGCCGTACCGTGTGGCTGCTTGCTGCCTGCCTGTCGCCTGCCGTGGACGCTGTGGACGCCGCTTCTGCTGCTGCTGCTGCCGTCGTCGTCGTCGTTGGTCGTCGCCGCCAACGTTTCTCTCCTCTCTACCTGCATCTTCTCTTCTCCTGTCCCATCTGTTTCGCCCTCCCTCGTGCGTCGTCCGCTGGTCCTATCCGGCGCCCAACAGGCAAGAGCTCCGCGCTGGCCTTCGTCGTAGCGCAGCGCACCAGGATCACCACCTACACCAAACCGACAACTGCCACCACCAGCCATCACCACCACGCGACCTCGCTCTGCCCCGCAATCGCACGCCCACCACCCAGCGTCTTCACCCTTCCTCCCCTTCTCTCGCACACGGCAACCGATCGTGTCTCCACCACCACCTCGCTGGCCTTTTCTTCCATCGTCCCACCACCGCTCCTCTCATCAAAGGTCGACACGCGACCTCTTTGTTTCCCCTCCCTCTATTGCCACGCCTGCGGACACACCCCTGCCTGCCAACCTACAACACCACTCGCGCCCCACCCCGGTCTCGGCGCACGCAGAATACAAACCGTCTCGGCCCGCCCCTTCCTCCCTTGAACCACCGCAACCCATCCGCTCGCCGATCCGCCCCTCCGCCCGCTCGCATGTCTCGGCGCCACTGAGCCCGCCCGCCCGCCCGTTCGTCCCTTTCGCGGGGCATCATCAAGTCACCCTCATCCATACTGTCTAGATCCTTCCTTCCGTCCTCTCTCTCGGCTCTTTCTCTCTCCTCCTCCTCCTTTCCCTCTGCCTCTGCCTCTCCGCATCCACACATCGCCCGCATCCACACCTGATTCATCGATCCGCATCTCGTCACCCGACCCTGGACCTCATCATCAAATACCGCGCTACACTCTTCCAACATCAGGATCCCTCCATCGGACACTCTCGCCGCCATTCCAAGAGCGCCTCCTCCGCCAAACGAGCTGTTCCCTGCATCGCTCGACGCCCATACCCACCTCTGCACTCGAACGTCCAACTCCGAGGTCCGCCCTGATCGGCATCTACCTCGCCCCATTCCGCCGCCCAACAATCATCCAACGACCTTGTCCCTTTCAATGATGAACTCGACCGCTCTCTAGCACAGCGGTGCGTCCGGAGCACCTCTCGACACCTTCAACCGGCTGCCCCTCCCCCCTCCGGGGCACGAGAGCTTCTTCCGTCTCCACGCACGTCCTCCCTCATCCCAGGCCTGGCTGCCTGTTGCGCGCGGAGCGTCCACCACGGCCGGATAGCCGACGTACCCCGCTGCATCCTTGCCCCGCCGTTCATCCGCCAGAGTCGCGCCTCTATCGCAATGCTGATCGACACTGCGCTCGGCAAGTTGGCCACCGCCACCATCGTCGTCACCGCCGACCTGTCGTCGCCCATCGACGCTGCTTCGGCCATCGAGCTGCCCTCTCCCGAGGCCGCCGCGCCCGAGCTCGGTCGAGTCCGGCCCCACCTCATCCCCGCCCGCCCCTCGATCTGTATCAGAGCACCTTGCCTCAAGCGCAACAGGTCCTCGCCCGTGCCGGCGAATGCCACCCTGGACTTTGCCGTCGACGCTCCGCCTCATGCTCTCGAGGCTCACGGTCCAGGCAGCCCCGGCCCGACCGGCGGCACCCGCAGCGTGTCGTGCTCGGAGCCGCCGCGCCACGTCCATTTCGACGACTCGCCGCCGCAGCAGTTCTCGGTCCACTCTGGCGAAAAGTACGACCGCCGCCCGATTGAGTGCACCCAGGGCGGCTCCGAGTACGACATGAGCCTCCCGCCCCGCTGCACCTCCTACGACGGCGAAGACGACGCCGACGAAGCCGCCAGCCCCACGCTGGCCAGCCGCGGGGAAAGGGACACCGTCGGCCAGCTGCACAGCTCGGCGCTCGACGAGATCAAGAATGGCACCTACCCGACGCCGTCGATGCACGCGCAGCCGGGCACCAACCAGGGCGGCCTCACCGTGTGCGGCAAAAGCATCCACTCGTCGCTCTACAGCTCCTTGGAAGGTGGCACCCTCTTCAGGCCTTCGACGATCTCGCTGGGTGCGGAGCCCACGGCCTCGGCACCGGCCAATGCGGCCAACCAGGTGCAGCTGCCCGTCCACGGGTTCCGCTCGTTCGGTGGGCTGTCAAAGGGGCTCTCGGCACGTCCCGCGGCGGGCGACGTCGATGCGGCGGCGGCCGCCGTCACCTCGATGCCGACTCCCCGCGCTGCCATTCCGGCCCTGGTCAGCGTGCTGTCGCCCGACGCGACCCCGATGCCCAGTCCGAGCCTGACGGGCCCCTTTTCCCAAGGCTTGCTCGGCAACAGCGCCAGTGTCGACGTCGGTAGCGGCGAGGGCGGCTACTTTGGGCTGAGCGAAGTGGCAGTCGGCCGCATCGAGGCTGAGCGCCCCTGCCGGTCGGCCCTTGCCCCCTCATCGCTGGCCCCCACACCCAGCCTGGAACGCAGGCGCAGCTCCGAGGAGGACCTGCGACATCTGAGCTTGGAGGCGGTCCAGAGCCCGGGCCCCCGATCGACGGGCGCGATGCCGCCAAGCGGCGCCTGCGAGGCTCAGGCGGCGCAGCACCCACGCCCACCTTCGCTTCTGATGGGGCCGCAAGAGCCGGAAGCGGTGCGCGCCGACGAGCAAACCGGTCGGATACAGCCTCTGGAGTCTCACGGCCAGAGACCAAGCCTGGTCGCCACGTGGCCCACCGGTCTGGGCTTCTCCTCGCCCATTTCATCGCGCTGCTCGTCGGTCGATCCTTGGAGCTCGCTGAGCAGCGACGGTGACGCCGACGGCACCGATAGTCCAGGCAACGAGGTCAGCTGGATCAGCAGCAGCTGCACCAGCCCAGAGCTGGGACCCTACGACCGGGTCGGCGAGCTGGGCGGGCTTGGCGGCGGTGCCCTTGGCGCCGGCCGCGACAAGCTGAGTCCGTCGTCGTCGCTCTCGGCCTGGCTCAGCTGCGGCAGGGTGTCGCCGGGCGACGTGTCACCTGCCCTCGGCGGAGCGGGCCATTCCCCGCGATACGCGACGGCGGAGAGCGATGCGGACGCGCACGACGACACCAAGTTCTCGTCGTCGCTCGAGACGGTCAGCGCGCTGCACACGGCCCGGTCGACGATGCTGTCGCTCCACCTGGCGGACCAGTCGCACGGCAGCGACTCGTTTGTCTCGGCGTCCGAGAGCGGGACGCCGGACACGTCGAGGCGGCCCAGCCTGCAGCACTATGAGCTCGAGGCGCTGCAGCTGTCTGCGCGCGTCAAGGGGCGCAAGGCGCAGCACGCGGCGCTCGCGGCGGCCGTCGACGAGGAGGGCGTGGTCAAGACGCGGACGCGCTCCAGCTCCAAGGACGGCACGCTGGTGCGCAAGCCCAAGTCGTCGAAGTGCAAATTCTGCAGATTGATGCGCGAGCGCCAAAAGAGG